AAAACGTTGTGGTAGTAAAGATAAAGCGTGCGTTTAAAATAACAAGAACTAAAACACTTATTGCATGGTTCTCATTTGTCTAATATTAATACAATAATAGTACGACGCGAATTTTAACAAGTAAGGTATGGTATCATATTTCATTATATATAAACGAACAATGTAAACTAGCCATACATTTCGCCGAACTTCGCCGAACATAACTTCGGCCCCTTTGGACATATCTTTTTCGTAATAGTCTCATTCGAACCAGAATCCAAAACACTATTCACAGTGTTATTTTCAAGCTTGTGTCTTCAGATTTTCATCTTTTATTTCGGTATTTACAGAAAATTTATATTTTTAGCGCGGCCCGTGAAACGTTCCTACATCAAAACAGCTGTTTAATTACATCCTAGGGGTTTGGAAAAACTGGAAATCGATTCTACAGGTCAAAGTATTCCCAGTGGCATGGTTTGCACGTGCATCGGGCTATACACGCAAGCATACACGTGGCGCGCGCGTGCGAGTAAAAACCCTATATTTTGAAAAATTCAAAATAAATATTTCTACTCGCCTTATTCAAACGAAACTGCCTACACGACAGCGCTTTAATACAAGGAGTATTTTACTCATATTGACTCCAGCGACGTGCTGGGGTCTTAAAAAGGACGACGAATGAGCAACGTCTGATGCGGCCCAGGCCCAGTGACGGGATGGATCAAGATTGGTGCGGGGGGTATTACTGATCAAACATGAAACATTTCAGTAATGTTTTCGTAAATTTAGATTTTTTAAATATAAATTGTAATATCTTAATCTTGATTTTCAGAATTAAAATCTATATTTTAAAGTTAAAATCTGCAATTAGAAACAACAAAAATCGTAAAAATTGGGGTGACGAGAAATTAAGTCGTTTACTGGCACCAAAGATTAGATACTATAAAGATGTGTCACTCGACGTATTTCCCTAATGTTTGCGTGTCCGTAATTTTCCGTGCTGATCACGAGTGATCACGCCAGATGACGAGTGCATAACACTTACTGCCAAAATGGCGGCGAGACTGAATACAATAGGTTGCCATCGCGATGCTCGCGCAATATGACCAATTTTGACGAATTTGACACTTACTGGCAAAATGGCGGCTATAAAAAAATCTCGGACATAATTTTCGCAGAGTGACACATCTTTATAGTATCTAATCTTTGCTGGCACTGACGAGTAAAATTGTCTGGCGTTGATAGCAGGACCGTAGCAACCGGAAGTCTGGGGTCTTCAGCCCCGCCCCCCCCCCAAAAAAAACAACAAAAAAAAAACTTGTAAACTAGCGATAATCTGTGAAGTTTAAGAGGGATATAATTACCTAATAATCACCCCTGACTAATCAGCTCCCCCAATACAAAATTGCTTCCTACAGGTAGTGGATAGGGCATGTTGTAAAAGACGGACTGGACTGGACTGGACCGGACTGGACTGGACTGAACCGGGAAAACGCGGACTGAGTCCGTGTTTTACAAATCGCGGACTGAATTTGTAAAACACGGACTGGACTGGACTGGACCGGGAAAACACGGACTGAGTCCGTGTTTTACAAATCGCGAACTAAGATTTGTAAAACGCGGACTGAGTCCGTGTTTTACAAATCGCGGGCTGCGATTTGTAAAAGGCGGACTCATTTTCTGACAAACATCGAAGTGACTCAGTCGTAAAGGTTTTGGCGGGAATTGCACTCAGTCGTGAAAGTTTTGGCGGGAATTGCGGATAATAGGTCGGTCAAGGAATAATCATATCCTGGACCAAAGGTTGGTATAAATTACTAGTATTTATTTATTGTTTTGAATAAACTGATGAACACGCTCAATCGTGTGGGACTTTGTGCCACTATTGTCGAGGAAACTCATGCGTATATATATCAAATGTGGCCGTTTCATGTAAACTATAATTTGTATGCCTGTATAGATATCGCTAGGGGCGATACCCCCCCCCCCCCCCCCACCCCAATACAAATCATGTGGATTGGCACGGCAATCAAAGATTTCAAATGATAGAATGTAGAGTTAAGTAATTTACAGGGCTTTCAGAGGGAATTTATAGAATTTATATTGGTCCAAAAATAAGGGTTTAAGCCATGTTTTAACACGGAATTGGCAGACACCCCCCGAATTAAAAGGGGCTAGTTGGAGCCCCTGGATATAGCTCTTATAGCAGATTTATTTTGTGTTTGTGGCGAAGAGGGTGTATGATTACACCCGTTTTCAAAATTACGCGACCAAGGACGAAAATGCTAGAGTTGACATGTCAGTTATGTCATTCGGTCACGAACCGGTTTAAACTTTGAGTTTTCCCGTTCCTTGTCGATGTGTATGCTTATTATGCTTTATATAAATAGGCTTACAATGATTTTCAAGATATTTTAGTGCGAATTATTGCAAAATTTAAGCACAAACAAAATCATATAATTATAAACGTCACCGTTATAGTCTAGCGCGCGTGTTTTATACTGACAGCTTAAAATTCCAGGATAAATTGTTAGTTTTCAAACTTTAAAAGTTATTCACGACATATATTTCTGTTGTGATGGTTTGTATTGTGCTTTAGTTTGTATATCTAATTTTTGTTCAGTTTTGGTATTAAATACGGTTTAAAATGTCTTTTGACAGTTTGTTTACGTTTGCTATTTTTAGCAGTTTTTGTGACATAAAACTGACATTTGAAGTATTTAAATAGTAGATCTTTCAGATCTGATCTAAAACTCCACACGAGTCAGAACACGAGTGAACACAAGTGAACACGAGTGAACACGAGTGAACACGAGTGAACACGAATGGAACACGAGTGAACACGAATGAAATACAAGTCTTAAACGACTAATAATAACCCTAAATACGACTTATTACTAGGAGTTACTATCGCAAGGAAAATGCTGCCGATATGTACATGTAGGATGTGCTACAAAAAGAGCGTTTTTCACTGTATGTGTGATTTATTGTCTTACACATCGTCGTTCCTCAGTTACCTTCGTACAATTATATCTTACATCTAATCTTATGAAAAGTATATTTTAATATACTTAACAGTGCGACTTTGATAGTTGACACATAATACAAATGATAAAATGTGAATATTATTGAATGATTTTGTCACTCGTACAACTTTTAATTTGGCTATTCAAACAATTGATTTAAAATAGTTGAATTTATACTTACTGGGATGTTATTGCTTATTGGGATGTTGAAATTATGTTTGTTTTAAATACATTTAATTGATATTCCATAAATTCATTTTGTATGATTTCATTGACCTTGACGTTGTTCAAAATCATTTTGTATTGTATTGAAACTGTATGTCTATGACCTATGTTATGTACTATATTAACCCATTGAGTCGCATTGCACCCTGATGCACCCTACTTTGAACAGTATTTTACTCTGTCTAACGCCAGACGATTTTACTCGTCAAGGGGAGAGTGCTGGCGCTTAATGGGTTAACTGATCTATCTGCCCATGTGTCTAGTTAACCCATTGGGTCGCATTGCACCCTGATGCACCCTACTTTGAACAGTATTTTACTCTGTCTAACGCCAGACGATTTTACTTGTCAAGGGGAGAGTGGTGGCGCTCAATGGGTTAACTGATCTATCTGCCCATGTGTCTAGTTAACCCATTGGGTCGCATTGCACCCTGATGCACCCTACTTTAGTATTTTACTCTGTCTAACGCCAGAGTATTTTACTCTGTCTAACGCCAGACGATTTTACTCGTCAAGGGGAGAGCGCTGGCGCTTAATGGGTTAACACGCCCAAAATCTGTACTAAAACTGCTAATTCTGTTTTGTGATTGGCACAGTTTAATCAAAGAATCCTCCCGTTGAACCAGAGCCTTCACGATATTTCAATTTATTATCAACTGAAGGCTCTGGAATCCAGGATAGCTTGCCATTGAATACAGTGCAATGCTTATATTTCTGAATGAATAAGATCATACTCAGAACAGTCAGAACTGCAAAACTATATTGTTAGAAAGAAGTTGAAGTTGTGAGCATTATTGTGGTAACACAGCATATGTATATATCAATGTATGTCAGTAGAATCATGTTTATAGGCTTTATATATAACTGAGGCCTTGTACAAGTCATATCTTATACAAAAGTCAGTTGATATGCTATATTACATGTAATTGCTGATAAGTCCATATATGCAGACAACAATCCACACTGGGTAGCTCTAGGAATCTTGTTAAGCCTGATTTAACAACATCCCGCCTTTGTTTTTAAACTATAAACATCTAGAAATAGAACGTACCAAACACTATTATATACTCACCGCCTTTGGCTTTGCACATATTAAGTGACATAACAAACAAATAAACTAAAAGTTCATTTCATTTGCTTCTTGTATCAGCATAAAAGCATTAATCATTACTGTCGATTTGGTCGGGAATAGATCAGTGATTCAGTGGGTATTATAATTGCCGATATATTCTTGAAATCATATTGTTTCAATGCCTCTATATCGAAGTTTAATACACTAAAGTGACTAAACAAGTATAAATATACTTCATGTATTATAAAATATATCACCAGACAGGTAGACAGGGCACACGGCACGACTACATCACTATACGAGAACGAAATAAAGCCATCCTTACCTGAATTATTCAAAATATTGTCGATCATTCTTGCGCCAGAGACACAAAATAACACCGTGCTTTATTTACCCATTCATCTTCACAAATATTACTCGGAATTTTTATGGAGATTCGCATTATTTTATGATTTTTATATTTCTGTCCGTTTATAACAGTCGCCATTTTGTGAACAAACCCCCCCGGGAACAAAAAAATAATATCAAAACAGCTAGTTTTGGCCCGTCCGTGGATGACAAAATGACATAAATCGAGATTGTAGCGGCTATAAACTCGGCGGTCACGTGGTAAGCACACCACGTGTAGAGATTAGTGTGCTGCCTCGCTACGCTCGGCAGCAATTAAAGCGAACGCATGCATCATTAAAGTGTCAAGCGTATGTTTACATATTAAAGTGCATTCACTTTTGAGTGACAGCGGCTCAGACTCGCAGCCAATCATCAATTCCCGTCCACTGGTGGACGGGGAATTCGATTACACTGCCAAACCCAGCAGGCGGTATTTCCCAGGCTTGCCCAATTTTAGGAACCGCCTGCCATGCAGGCTAACGTCATCCCGGCCACAGGAGTTTCTTATTGGCCAATTATTGCGCAATGTACGCAATTGCGAGTGAAATCCGAAAATTTAAAAAATATCAAAATAAATATTTCTACTCGTCGTATTCAAACGAAATTTTGTACACAAAAGCACTTGAATACAAAGAGTATTTTACACATATAGCCGTTCCGCAAATGACGATAAGTTCAAGGGATATTCAAGATTTTGTGGATATGAAATTTAGAATCTTTGGTCAAGCGGTGAGTAAATATATGACTGTTTCGGTTTGTGTAATGTTTTGACGGCACTTGACCCCCCGTTCAAAAAGTTATTTTGTGAGAATTTCCATGGTGGGTTTTATTTAAAAGGGGGATCAATATTCGCCGAGATATTTGCTTTTATTTTAGTATGTTTTGGTTTTTTTTTCAATAAATTGATGGACGAAGTTGCATATAGTCTCTGATTTTTAAATTGATTTATATATCTATATATATATATCTATATATATATATATATATATATATATATATATATATATATATATATATATATATATATATATATATATATATATATATATATATATATATATATATATATATATA